AAGAAGCTGAAATAAATATTCCTTAAAAATATTCAGGATGACACATTGATTAACTATGGCATAGCTTTTTATAGACAATATTTGGCATTAGATAGACAATCGGATAACTTTTTCTATGTTATAACTTTCCCGAAATTTATTTGTTTTTATTAAACTAAATAAACTTGTAAGAAAGGAGAAGAAAAAAACATTTTTTTAAGTAAATCCTGGTACATTTTACAATTTGTTCAGTATCGATGAACAAAAAATCAAGTAAATGCAGCTGCTATTACCGTTCGGAAAGATATGGAAACACATACCAGAAGCCATACACGAGATAGACCATTCGTAAATGGATCGATTATGGTATGGCTGCTCCCAAGGGCAAGATGGCAGATATTATTGAAATTAACTTGGAAATACTTTTAGAATGACCAATGAGAGTATGAAAACAGATATGAATTAAGTTTGCTTGAATAATAGACTTAAGTAGCGGAAGGATGATAATCCGCCTACAAACTGAAAGTAACAAATTCGTCAACCAATTAATGGCTATAGCCATATTTACATTCGTTCCACACATCAAATGTGCTCATGAGCTCAGCCATACGCGCATCGAAATTAAGCGCTTGCATTCAGTGTTACTTAATGAATTATTGGATTGCTACATCCGTATTTAATTAATCAAAGTTATTACCGGTGGTTTTGTAACTCAAAGTACAAGGAAATATACGCACTCACAGACTCATAAACATTTACTTAATCGATTTACATGAAGAAGAGCTCACCAAACCATTCCATTTCTATATGTATATATATATATATTAGGTTCTATTGTAGACATCATTACTCTTATAAATAACATGTGAGACGCAACTGATCAAGTTTCCTGACTTAGTCTCTATTTGAAGATTTTATAAGAATAAGATCCAGCTCTAAAGACCACTGCCAAATTGCATAATTAGGGAAATGTCAAACAGCTTTCACTAGAACTTAATGAGGATGTATTGCTGACAGTATGAACTTAAAAGTTAAAGTAGAATCAAACGATTACCGAGCAGCGGATATATAATGAGATAAG